GGCAAGATTATAAAATCGCGTCGTGACAATCAATGAAGGTTTGAATCTAAAACAAATGTAAATGGCGCAGCCGTTTGTGTGGGCCAGGACGGGGAGGGGTGCGCAGAACGTTGACGTGATTGTAGGTAGGCTGTAGTCTCGTATGGTGTGTCCGCGTCCGTTAGCTTGCGTCTTTTTTGGTATCTTGCGTTCGCGAAGCGGGAGGCACGATTGTCCCATGGATACCGTCCGCCGCACGTATAAACCTTGGCTTTGCCAGAATGCGGCCGCGCTGGAGCCTACCAAGCACCTACAACACCACAACCAACCGCCTCAACAGCGACAAACAACGATAACACCGACCAAGGTTGTCGGGTTCCACGCGTTGTTCGCGCTTCCTCTCTCTCTCACTTGCGCAGAGCTAGCGGCACGTCTCCCATCAGCGTGTCCGCAGCCCTCAGCCACTCGTCAGGGTCGTCCGGTGCAGCCCACCGTAGCGAGGAATCGAACTTCACCTCGCCTTCGACATCAATCACCACGGCTCGAACGCCGCTGGCAGGGGGTCCGAACAAGAACAAAAGAAAATGGGGGTAGGGTTAGGATACGGGGCCCTAGTTGGAAGGGGGGGAGGGGGGTGTACTCGTGTAAACGCATGCCGTAGTCATCGTTGTAGACGATTGACCTCGCATCCCTGCAACGCCGGCACGGAGCTATGTATGTCGCCGGCCCAGGCAACGTTTCACAAGGGATGAACTACTGCTATAGAAGCTGGTCATCCGCCATGGGTTTTGATTGGGCACCCCGGCTAACCAAACATTGCACATACGGCAGGCACAAGTATGCAAGTACCGCAAACGACTTCGGTCTTTGCGCGCTCGTTCAAAGCAGGCGCGCCACAAAACAGCGAACAAGTCGCGTCGTGTGTAATGCACCACGGAGAATAATTCGCTTGTATGCATACTCCAGGTGGAAAAATTCCAAATTGAGCAGTTCACATTTTGTCTTGCTCCAGGGCGTTCCAACTATCTATCCAGTGTTCAGCGGACATCCAATGGGTGTAAACTCTAGGACCGAAGCCTAACAAGGCACAGGATATAAGGTACAAGTCGTACACAACCTGATGCCCTCACAGGAGTTGTACAGAGAACGGCCGCCTCGTACGCTACGCAACAACAATAGCACACACAACAAGAAATCGCACATGTGTACATTATTCCTTCTTCTCCTCGCTCCTCACCCTCCTAGTTCACCCCAACACCAATGGTTTCCTGCTGCGCCACCACTCCTACTGACCATGTCGGCGATAAAAAATTGCGTCAGCACCGGCTGGATGCGGCAATGCGGATACGCATTTGATCATGTTCTCTAAAAATAGAGAATGCCGCGCATGATGCACATCTAAACTTAAAATTCAACCCTTGCACACAGCAAAGATGACTTTCAAGTCTCCTCCTACATAGAACGACTGCTGTACGTATGTGCAACGTGAAGAACCCGTGTCACGAGCAGCTTTCGAGCTGGCTCTTCTGATAGCGAGGCCGGTTGCTCTCGCCCGCGGCGCTTCTGTGCTCCATGCCGCGTACGTGCATTGTTTTGGACGCAAGCGGCACAGCAGGGCACACGACGTATACATTGCCGCCTCCCTCTTAGAGTGCCCAACACCCGACCCGTACCTTGTGCCGAAGTCGAAACCAACTCCGAGTTGTCCCTCGCTCATGCTACAGCTCCTTCTCCCGGTTTTGGTGCTATGTCGCTGTGGCAGCGGGCGAGAAACACATCCATGCGAGCTTGCCGGCGATGACAACAACGTTGTTGTAAATCCAGCGGCGGCGCAAATCAGGGCGAACAGCGGGAGGAATGCTGCACTTCGGCAGCCGCCGTTGGCCTTCATTCGCCCGTGGTCTCGCTCTCTCTCTCCCTGCCGCGCGCAAGGGAGCGCTGCGTGGTGACGACTGGGTTAAAACGTTCGCGTGCGTGTACGGAAGTCAGAGGTACCGACAGACAGAGTAAAGAAGGGCTCCGCAGCCTAGCGCCTGCAATCCAACAGGTACAGAGCGGCGTCGATGTCTCAATGCGGTACAAAGAGCTTCACGGCTCAACAGAGAAGAGAGCAAAAATGGGGTACCCCAAGGAAAACCTGAATGGTGTACCCGTTTCAGTCCTGGACTGTCAGCATTGGACTGCTTGGGTGCTGGAAGGCAACATGCTGGGTGTATCTGCGTTGCGCAGTCGTGCAGCGAGATGGCCCGCGGCGCGGGGCTGGAGTGGATGCCGGGGTCGTCTCGTTCTCTGCAAGCGGTTGCTTCCGTGGACCCTCGCCCGGATACTGTGGAGGATGTTCTGAACGTCTGTCCTCAGCAGGCCGCGAGCTTCGGTGAGCTTTGTAGAACGCTTGGTTGCGGGACATCAATCATTTCGGTGATGGAACAAGAAGGCCGGGTGTCATCGGCCCGCCGACGATCAAGTCTCTCTTCATTGCTGCTTGTATCCCACCTTCAGTGTGAAAGGGCAGGTTTGTCCGACCGAAGATGAACGGTCCCGCAAGTAAAGCATGTAGAGGCGTTGAGACTGACTGCTTTGGAACAAATTTAGACCGACCGTCTACACAGCCTCCGACAGGGATGCAACCTGGCCCCGCTGCTGTTCAACTTGTTCGTTGGCGCGATGCTCATGGTCGCCGTGACCGAGTTCGACAAGGACCCCAAGGTGACGGCGGACATGGTCAAGATCGGGACACAAGTGGAGTACACGGGCAAGAAGGGCAGGTCGGCGGGGAAGTAGACGACGGTGGTGACGGACGCGGAGGCCCTGTGGGTCATGCGCTACGCTGACGACGCGGCCATCGTCTCGCGCTCGCCGGAGAGTCTCGAGAAGATGATGTCGGTCATCGTGCGCGTGGCCGGCCTATTCGGACTGATGGTATCGGAGCCAAAGACGGAGATCATGTGAATGCTGCCGAAAGGGATCGAGGAACGCCCGTTTACGGTCAGCACCGCCGGCCAGACGTACAAGCAGACGGATCGGTTTGTGTACCTCGGACGTACCATCTCCGCGGACAGGAAGGCCGACCGGGAGATCACGAGCCGCAGCTGCCGAGCGTGGAAGTGCTACCGCCGGAACAGTGCTTCGATGTACGACAGGCGACGGGCCGACCGCCAGCTCAAGATCCGGCTACTCCAGGCTGAAGTGGTGGAGACTCTCCTGTGTGGGTGCGCCTCGTGGAGTCTAACAGCGGAACACTACACCAAGCTCAATGGGACCTACCGCCAGTTCCTCACACGGCGCATCGGCTGGAGCAAGCGGAAACGCTCAGATCGCCCCCTGTCCTATGCCCAGGCCCTCATCCAGGCAGGCTGCGAAGAAATCATCGAGGCCACCGTGCACAAACGGAGACTGTGTTTCGCGGGCTTTGTTATGCGCATGGAGGACAACCGCCTCCCCAATCGCATGCTGTTAGAAGCGATGGCGGGGGGCGTGGGATACCGGGGCGGGCAGGAGAGCGACTGGGTGTCTCGTCTAGGAGAGGACCTCGTGGCCTTCAACATGGGAGACGAAAAGGAAGGGGGTAAATGGAAAGAGAGCGCCAAGGATCCGGAGGTGTGGTACAACAAGGTCGAGGACGGGGCGGCATGGTTCATGAGGAAATGGCACAGGCAGGAGGCGGAAGCGTCCGCGAAGCGCCAGCGCGCGCGGGAAGCAGAAGCAGAGAGTACGACCATCTCAGGACCGTAGAGAAAGAGAACCGGCGAAGCGGCGGTTGGGGGGAAGAAACGGCGACCGGGCTCTGCTGTAGAAGCGAGTAGGGCGGCCGAGGCAGCACTTGTGGCGAACTATGTACCCGGCTGATGTTCTTGCGCCCTGTTTCCCTCCATGCTGTATGCTATACTCGTTTATGTATGTCCTTTGTATTTCCTTCGGCCTCTGTGCTGTGTTACTTTTTTTCATGTCCTCCCTGCCTACTCTGCTGTGTTGGGTACCTTGATCNTCAGTCGGGGAATCGGTGGTGGGGGGGAAGAAACGGCGACCGGTCACTGCTGTAGAAACGAGTAGGGCGGCCGAGGCAGCACTTGTGGCGAACTATGTACCCGGCTGATGTTCTTGCGCCCTGTTTCCCTCCATGCTGTATGCTATACTCGTTTATGTATGTCCTTTGTATTTCCTTCGGCCTCTGTGCTGTGTTACTTTTTTTCATGTCCTCCCTGCCTACTCTGCTGTGTTGGGTACCTTGATCTCGCTTTTGCTGTTACTTTTGTTGTTGCACATCTGGCCGTCTGCCCATCTGCCGCCTCTTTGTCCTGTTTGCTCCGTTGCACCCATGCCCTGGTGCGTAGTGCCTGGTGCTGGTACGTTACCCTTTGATTTTTTCTTTNCTATCATTTTGTTTTCTTTTTCCGAGTGGTTTGTACCCTATTTTTGTTTTGTTTCCCGGCGGCGTCGTATGTGCCGGGTTTTGAGACCACGGACTCCCCATTTTTTGTGGACAATAGAGCTAATGTGAGAAACACCAACAACAACAACATGAAGTCTAATGGTGTAGCAGCAGCACGCCACCGTACGATGTAGGCTGTTGTTGTATGCTGCTGTGTCTTGCACCACAGTAGAGTCGGACAGAGGGGTGCGAGAGGTAGGACCGCATCGATCGCATCCCCGGTTGCTGTGTTTCCCTCGAGATGGGCCCTCTTGGCAGCAACTTGCTGCTGCCCGAGAGGACTACTACTGCTGTACACCTCCGGGTTCTTGCAACGCTACATACCATCGGCTCTTGCCGCGCCTTAATCTCGAGACTGCTGTACCCTCGCCCTTTCCACCTGCATCCCACACCAGGCGGACGTCACCTGAGACTAGCGTGGGTAGACTCCCCCCCGGACCCGTCCCAAGGGTGGAGAGGCTGCGGCGGCCCGGCGCGCGTTCGCGTGGACACCGCCCTTCGCCCACAAGACCCCGCCGTGATGATCATTCCAGGGCCCCGGGCGGCCGCGAGGGACCCGGTCGTCCACCTCCGAGCCTGCGCCGTGCCGCCTCACTTTGTCCAGCCGTGGACTACCGTCGAGATTGTGCGGGACGGCGGCGGCGGCGGCGGCGGCGGTGGTGATGGAGATGGTGAACCGGTGGCGGAGGGCACCGAGGTTGGGGACGCGAGATCGGCGTTGCGTCCGGAATCCGCCCTCGAGCTCCTGCGGGGCTGCGTCGTCAGGTCCGGCGGCGTCGTCCACTTCCTTCACGCCCCGGCAGATGCCGCCTGCCGCGGCGTTCGGCTCCTCTGTCGACGGGCGCCGGAGTACGTTGTCCCCCTCTCGACAGATTCTCCTCCTGGGACTACTCCCGTCACCGGCGCTTCCGCAAGCCGTCGCACGGGGGGCTCTCACGGGAGTGGCAATGAGAAGTCAAGCCACGGCCGACGCAGGGGAACAAGGCGGCGTAGCAGAGAAGGGGAAGATGCTGCGGAGAAGCAGAAAGTGGGGGCCTGCGGTGAAGGCGAGACGGAAAGGTTAGGGACGAAGCAGGCAACAGGGACTTACGTCGCATGTACGCGGCGAGGGGATTCGGCGACCGGAGCCATCGCTGACGCCGTTGGGTGGAGCGAGAGCGGTACACCGGGAGGGAAGACTGGTGTGGATAAGGAGGGGGACTGGGCCGGCCGGCTGTCCGATTGGGGGGCGGTGACGATCAGCAGCGAGGTTGTTGTGCCCCACAAGGCGCTCGAAGTGTCTTACCACGACATTTCCGCCGCCGCCCCTTCAAAAACCACCTGTGGAGAAGGTGTGGAACGGGGTGCATTCGCGCTTTGCCTTTGGGTGGGATTTATGCATTCTTGGGCAAGAGATGACGCATGTTTTGTTATGTGGGTGACCTGCTTTGTTTATGTTTTCACTTGCTAGTGACACCTCTAACCGCGGGTCAGGCTTTTGAGGAACGTTGATACTTGTTCTTTTCGTACACGCCCCCTCGTTCAGAGGCAAGGTAGTGAGACAGCGCGACCCTGTGCAAGAATAAGGAGAAAACCTTGGAGAGGAAATGAGTGAGTGAAGGTCAAGTTTTTAATTTAACGCTGAAGTCTAGTGAGGCAAGAGTCGCTGTCCTTGGAGATGCATGATGTTAAGAAGAAGGATTAGGCCAGGGTTTTCCCCCCTAGAGTAAATGTACCAATTAAGAGACACCCCCCATTAAGAGACACATTTTTTCAAATGCACATATCTCCGCGCACAATCCGCGGGGACCCCTGATTTCTTTTTCAAATTTGCAAGCGTTACGTTAGCTTTCGTTTGAGCACTTCAGCGTCCCGATCGGGTCACGCACCCACGAGATACAGCAACACCCGCTCCCACACCCGTGATGCGGGGCATTTTCATCCCTGTGGCGGGTCTGTTGCTAAGCATTGCGAGCATGGGCCGGGATGCGACATTTGTGGCCCCTGGCTGGATCGATCCCAATTTTTTTTTTTCTACATCGACATGAGTTGAAGCAAAGCGTATACGAAAAAAGTCAGGTCTTGAAACGCTTTGGATCTCACGCAATCACCACATCTTTAAAGTGTCTCTTAACGGGGGCGGGGGTGTTTTCCACCGTATTATCCCGGAAAAATTAGGGGTATTACAGGAGCCATATCTTCCCAGCGCTTACGATTGTTTTTTTTGTTTTTGGGAGGTAGCCTGTGATGTTAGCTATCGTACGATACCTCGACGTCAACGATATTCGTCCTAATAGTCAAGAACGAGCTGTTTGAGCGGAGGGTGGCTTAAGTGTCTCTTAATTGGTACATTTACTCTACATATCAAAAGTATGATAATACATACACCCGAATGCCCCGGGTGCCTCTACATGTCAGGAGTAGGAATGGTCTCCGTTCGCGGAAGGTATCCATTAAGTGCGTCGCCCCATCCAAACCCGCTTTCTCTCAGTTCCGCTCCAAGCTCTCTCGCCATGTGTTTTTACCATTCAGGCCGCCGTCCCACTAGAGGGGAACCGGTTTGGGTGGAGACCGTCCTACGGAGTCACGAGGCTTCTGTCGTCGATGACCTCTCGGCCGCTTTCGAGCTAGCAGAGACAGGGGTCAGCGCCGATGGGGTTGCTGGACGGCGAGAGGAGATGACCGTGAGGGGCGGCGGGGGTGGTAACGGCGGTAACGGTGCCTTGCTCGTTCACGGTCCTCCCGGGGTGGGAAAAACTCGCCTGGTAAGTGGTGAGAGAGAGAGAGAGAGAGAGAGAGAGAGGGCGTAAACGCAAGGGTTAAGTTCAGGGTCAACACAGATAATTATCTGACCAACACGTCTTAGATATCTGCCGTCAGCAGCAGCCCATCCTCCTGATGACACCTTTTACCGCGTGTATATAACAGGTTGAAGCGCTTGCGGCACGCCTTGGTTGTCGTCTTGTCAAGCTTTCTCCGGGAAGACTGGCCGCCATCGGGGGGGTGCACGCCGACCGGTGAGATGACGTCACAGCATGGATGACGTCACAGCGTGGTGTTCCCCCCTGCCTTCACGGTACAACAATGTGTTGCGGCCTATGCCAGCACTCCCCCCGTCATGTGTACCCACCCCGCTTTGATACGGAGCTAACCATAGCCAAGTGACGGATCGAGAACAAGACTCGCAACAGTTAGGGTTGGCCCTGGTTGAGAATAGGAGCTGTCCTTGACCAAGCGCCACACCGACTTCTAGGATGAGCAACTTTTGGGCCCCCCGTCCCCCTATTTAGAGTAAGGGCGCTCGAGCAACGACGGCGAGGAAAGAAGATGGTGTAAGCGATGAGGTGCTGGGTCAAGGCGAAGGCAAAGCGCGCCATGAGAATCCTCCCAAACTTAACCAGCAAGAAGTAGTTTAGCATCGATTGGTCGGCGAGTATCATACGTTTTCCGGGACGGCGTTGCGGTGCTGGACATTGCGAGGTTGTGTAACTGCGGCCGTGCATGACAACGAATATACCCCGACCTCCCCCCCCCCCCCCCCCCCCCCCCCCCCCCCCCCCCCCCCCCCCCCCCCCCCCCCCCCCCCCCCCCCCCCCCCCCCCNGGTGTCGCGTGTCAGGGTCTTGTCGGAGGCGTTTCAATACTGCCACCGGTGCGTATCACGCAGGGTGGTACTACTCCTCGACTCCATCGACAGGTGGGATGAAACCTAGACCTACGGAAAAACTACTTCCCCTCCCCTCCCCCACAATCACGAGTAGTTTTTTCAGGTCCTCTCGCCAAACCCACTTAATCCTGTCTGCGACCCCTCGTGCTGCGTGCTGGAATACCCGGGACCAGAAGTGGCGAACAAAAACAAGCAGCAAAGAGACACTCACCCCCCTCGATGCTCCAACCCAACAGGGGGTGGTGTGAGAAGTCGCCTGTGCGCTGTTGAATGAACCCCGCGACGAGATGTGCAGCCGTGCTCTGCAGCACGAAGTTTGGGTTGCACTCCATCGTCCACGGCGTAGTACTCCGACGAGACCAGCAGCAACATGTGTTGGAAAACATGGGGTTTCGCCTGAAGTGTTAAAACGGGCGCGCTTGCTTTCCCTCTCTCTGCTCACCGGCAGGCTTACGCCGGCGGCTCGGGGCAACGTGGGTGCTTCCCGCGGCGAGGTGGACGCCGGCAAGCTGAACGCCTTCGTGCTTGCGGTGGAGCAGGTGCGCGGGTGTTCTTTCCGTGCGCAGGCGATGGTGATGTTCTGTCTGAGTTTTCACTTTTTGTCTCTCATTGGGCACTGATTGATCAGCGGTGGCAACAACCGTGTGTGCGCGTGAGATTGGTGCCGTTGGCCTGTATTGCTGGGATCCGATAGCCGTGGGGCTACCGTAGAGCAGGGCTAGTAACCTGTCTGGATACGTTGACTGCAGGGAAGCTGCCCCCTTTGCTCTTTTTCACCAAAGGATCCAAGCAAGGGTTTTGTTTTTTCTGCACACGGCGGGAGGGATGCATGTGTGTGGAGAATCCATTCGAGGTACTCGAGCATGGCGGGATGATGGATGTGCCGCCGCACCCTACATATCTTTCCGTCCTCGCGAGATGGAGAGTGAGAAGGAGACACGCGATGCCCTGTTTGGCTCGTGCTGTTACGGCCCAGGTGTAGTGCTTCGTGTGCAAACAGAAGCGGAGGTCCCGCCTCTGTTCCCACGAAATCATCGCAGCGGATTCTATCCCCCGTCTCTCTCTATGTCTTTCTCTAGGTAAATCTCTCTGTCTCTCTCTCTGTCTCTCTCTCTCTCTCTGTCTGTCTCTCTCTCTCTCTCTCTCTCTCTCTCTCTCTCTCNCTCTCTCTCTCTCTCTCTCGCTCTCTCTCTCTTCTCTCTCTCTTTCTATCATTCTCTACCTCTTTTCTTCCTCCGTCTTTCTCTAGCTGTCTCTCTCAGGCATGCGCTGACAAGAACAGACAAAGCACGTCGCGCGCAGTAATCCAACCTTCTTCCACCGACCCTAAACAACCCTGTTTCCTTTTGATGCGCTCGATCGCCTACCACCCGGAAAAAAGGGGCGGCGGGATCCCCGCTGGCGCGGTCGCGTGGCCGTGGTGGGAGTGACGTCGTGGCCGGATCAGGTGCATCCCACCGCGCGTCGGTGCGCCGGGCAGGAGGTGCTCGTCCTTCCTCCCAGGCACGTCGTTTTTCGTCGTCCATGTTGTGGGTTGTCGTGTTGCTGCTGCTGCTGCTGCTTGATTTCTCTAGCGTGGGGGAGCTATTGGACTATTGTTAGCTGCTGCTGGTGCTTCTGTAGTCTTGCTCTTGACCCTCGACAACAGCAGTCGTCGCTACTATTTGCTGCACGCACAACCGTTGCCGTTGCCGTGCCTTTGTCTCCTCGCCCTCGTTCGATTCGCACCCCGGCTACGGGGGAGCGCAGCCAGCCTCTGCGTGCTAGGATCTTGAGCCGCGCTCTGCTGCACACGGGCAAGTGGGAAGAAGCACGCGCGGATGAAGGCGGGAAATCCCCAGCCACCAAAGCACAGCAGGTACGTGTGTTCATTTGTCGTATGCAGATAGAGCAGTACTCCCGTACCGGTTCGAATCATGTTGCCTCAACAAAGGCGTTCATAAGAAACGCCCTCCCGGTCGCTGGAGCGAGCGAGCGAGCGAGCCTCTCTCTTTGCATTGGCTCTTTGCGTCATTCGGGACACGAAAGTTACCCTTGAGGCTGGGTGTGGACTTCAGTCCTGAGCCTGGGGGCGGCTGTGCGATTGGGACGCGGCGGCCGACGCAACGACTCCTTGTGCGCGTGAGGGTCTCTGATGTGGCAAACGGCCAATGGAGACGTCATCCACCCCGGCATAAAATCGTGCGTGCCGAGCCAGCCGCCCGCCTTCCCTCCCCCGTCCCCGGCGTCCTCAGGACGCCTTCGAAGAAGTGGTCGGGCTTTGCCAGGGGTTCACGGCGGGGGACATGTGCGCCGTTGCTGCTGCTGCTGCTGCTGCTGCTAGGTCGCGGCTACCGGATAACGATGACGAGGGGAGGCAAACGGCCGAGCAACGGGCTCTCGCTCGCGCGGAAGCTCTTCGTGCAGGGTTCCGACAGGTCTGATACACACACAAGAGTCCTTTTTTTTTTTTTGCGCTCCTTTGTGTGGGTTTTCTTTGTGCAGGTTGGCGTGTTTGTGCCTTGGTCATCGGATCTGCTCCGTAGGCACGCGCTCCTGCAGAAAGCCGCCCTTGTGTTTTGGTTCATCCGAAACACCCCCGTCTCGTACCCTGTGAGGTCGTAGATGCACGCTCGCCTGCGAGAGAAGAAGTTTTCTGTGGCACACTGTTTCCGACTCTGTCTGCATGAACGGCACAGCCCCTGTCGACCGTTTTCATATCGGCCGTCTGGTCATTGTTAGGTTCGACAGCGTGTGGCTGCCGGAAGGGGAGGGGCTGGCGGAGGCGGGGGCGGCTCGGCGTCCGTCGCCGGGGTACCGCGTGTGCGATGGTCAGAGGTATGATACGACAACCACGAGGCGGTGGCACTGAGTCAAATCGCCATCATCGAGACCGCGACAAATGTTGCGAAACAAATCAACCCGCGATGTCATGTCGTCAGGGGGCCGAGGGGGGCAGGAGCGAGGCTCTCGCCCTTTCACTTCTATGCGCTCGACATGTTTCACTCTTTTGTACTACACCCACTCATCGGTGCAACGAAGGCGATCTGACTCCCCCAACCCGCGCCCGCCCGCCGCTGGCTCTACTATGCTGCTCAGGTCGGTGGACTCGAGCGCGCCAAGCGCGCCGTGCAAGAGATGGTGGTGTGGCCCGCACGGTTCCCGGAGGCGTTTTCTCGGATGGGGATAACGCCGGCGTCTGGGGTGCTCCTGTTTGGACCTCCAGGTGCGGGCCAGGATGCATGCCGACACGAGCAAACGCCGACCAGCATACCACCGCAGTAGCAGCAGCAGCAGCCGTGTTGTAGCAGTTGTACTCTCCCGTGAGCAGAAAGAGGAGAGGGGGGGCGTGTGATATTGCTGGCTGTACGGTGAGGAGGGGGTGGTTAAGCCTTGTCGAAGGGAGACGCGGAGATGCGGTGGGAGGTTTGCGTTGCGATAGTGTGCAGTCGTGACGTGAAGGCCAGGGGTGCTTACCGTTGAAGTCGTGGATTTGGCGTGGAGGTGTGTAGCGGAAGGCGTGCGTACTGCTGGAGCGATCGGAGGTTGACGCTAGGGTAACTAGAAAAATCCGGACTCTTGCGAATACGTTCGTCGAAGCAACGATATTTTCAGGATGCATACACGATTTTTCTGATACCGCTCCATGTCGGGTGTCTTGTATCACCGCATTGTACCTCGTCGTTTCCCCACGTTGTCGCGACGCGAGAGCCTATTTTTGAGCGTCGACGATACCCATGATCTTGCGTGCACCCTCCCCAACCCTAACCTCAACGCTAACCCCCCCCTTTGCCCACGCCAAACACGCCTCCACGACGCAACAGGAACCGGGAAGACGCTGCTTGCCAAGGCCGCGGCCACCGAGACGGGGGCGACGTTCATCGAGCTCAAGGTTTCCGACGTGGTCCGCGGAGAGATCGGCGAGAGCGAGAAGGTGCGGCGCCGCTTGTTTTGCTGTTCTTGTGTTGCCGTCTCTGACCCTCGTCACCCCGGCGTTTCCCCCCGCGACGACGTATGCATACATACACCCGTGCTAATGCTGGAGATAGAGAAAAACGAGCTCCGCACCAGTCCACAGGCTGAACCAGACTGAAGTGGATGCTTCTCTCGCACACCATCCTTCCTCCTCGGAGCAATAGGCACACAGGATGGGAGAACAATATACGTGCGTACAAAGTTTACTCTTCTTGTGTTCATCCTTTGTACAACCTCTTTTTGGTTCTAACGTGTAGCCATGTTATGCGTAGTTTGTTTTTACTTTCACCCTTTGTAACAATGTTCTTTGATTTAGACGTGCAACGTTCATGCGCGGCTGCGTGACGGACGTCGCCACCATGATTTTTTGCTACCAGGTCATCGACCAGGCGTTTCGCACGGCGCGAGAGCTAGCACCGTCTATCGTGTTCATCGACGAGTTTCAGGCGCTCTTCGCTTCCAGAGAGGCGGGGGGAGGGACAGGGTGAGGACGATGCACGAAAACCTGCAACTTACTGGAAGTTCACAGATGGTAGTGTTTTTTTGGGAAATGGACAAAAGTGGGTATACCCACCCCTTTCTCGGACAAAAGTGGGAACTCGAAAATCCAGCGCGCGCGCACTCCATAGGCGGCACCCAAACGACTTAAAACCCCATTCTGACACCTGCGCGACACAGCCGGGGACCATACACAGCACGGGCACCGATTTTTTCCCACTTTCAGGCACACCTTTGGCCCTAATACCGCCGAGGCGCGCAGGGCCTCACCAGAGTGCCCACTTCTGTCCGACATCGCGGTGGGTATACCCACCGCCGTCAATTAATTTGTTCATGTACCCACTTTTGTCTATGTTTTGACCCACTTTTGTCCAAACTGTACCCACATTTGTCCACTTACGGACGGCGGAAATCGAGCGGAAATCGACCTCCACGTCACCGCACGGCAGAACATCGAATAGCCTCGGAACGTCTCAGAACCTCCCAACACCGTATCCATGGCATCTTTCGTATCCATGGCTGCCGACTGCGGACCAACCGCGGAGGAACATGTCAGACACATGCCAGGCCCCTTCGGTACCGGCACGGGAGGATACCAGGCACGGGAAGATGCCCGCGGCAAGCCCGGCAAGCAGCGCACTAACGGCAAACGCCACAAATATATGCGTGACACACAACGGACAACAAAACCAATGGGCGCGCATACAGAACAAACAGACGCGCATACCGCAACAGCACACATAGTCTACACACAGAAACACCAACCACCACCACGACGAGTGCACACCGACTCGTGAGGGCAGCAGCAGCATGTTGATGCAGTTTACCCTGCAGGGCGCCCGCTCAGGGTCAAGCGCGGGCGCACCTCTGTCAACTGCTGGCGGCGCCATGGTTGAAGGGGCAACTTTTGCGACGGTTAGGTTTTTAGGGGATACCAAGCCGGATTTCACGTCGTATACACATAATGAATGTTGTGCATGTGAATACCCTATTAATATGATGTTGTTACGTGGCAAATTGCATCGACATGCTGCTGCTGCCCTCACGAGTCGGTGTGCACTCGTCGTGGTGGTGGTTGGTGTTTCTGTGTGTAGACTATGTGTGCTGTTGCGGTATGCGCGTCTGTTTGTTCTGTATGCGCGCCCATTGGTTTTGTTGTCCGTTGTGTGTCACGCATATATTTGTGGCGTTTGCCGTTAGTGCGCTACTTGCCGGGCTTGCCGCGGGCATCTTCCCGTGCCTGGTATCCTCCCGTGCCGGTACCGAAGGGGCCTGGCATGTGTCTGACATGTTCCTCCGCGGTTGGTCCGCAGTCGGCAGCCATGGATACGAAAGATGCCATGGATACGGTGTTGGGAGGTTCTGAGACGTTCCGAGGCTATTCGATGTTCTGCCGTGCGGTGACGTGGAGGTCGATTTCCGCTCGATTTCCGCCGTCCGTAAGTGGACAAATGTGGGTACAGTTTGGACAAAAGTGGGTCAAAACATAGACAAAAGTGGGTACATGAACAAATTAGTTGACGGCGGTGGGTATACCCACCGCGATGTCGGACAGAAGTGGGCACTCTGGTGAGGCCCTGCGCGCCTCGGCGGTATTAGGGCCAAAGGTGTGCCTGAAAGTGGGAAAAAATCGGTGCCCGTGCTGTGTATGGTCCCCGGCTGTGTCGCGCAGGTGTCAGAATGGGGTTTTAAGTCGTTTGGGTGCCACCTATGGAGTGCGCGCGCGCTGGATTTTCGAGTTCCCACTTTTGTCCGAGAAAGGGGTGGGTATACCCACTTGTGTCCATTGCCCCTTTTTTTCGTGTCGTTTTTTGTATCATCTCTACGCGCTGTTCGTTTGTTGTCGGTTGTTTTACCTCAAGTAGGCATCGATTGTGGTGATTTCGAAACTCGGGACGTCGCGCTGCAAAGCAGCACGGGGTAGTCACCTTGCGGGGCAGGAGAGACCGGCAGTTCTTGTAGTCGCGGCATCAGGCAAAACCTGGACTGAGGGGCACCAAGGAGGGCATTGGCAAGGACATCAAGGCAGAAGAGAAAACCAGGATATTTTCACTCATGAACAGAGCAACCTTTCCTAAGGAAGACGAGCGGAATCTCCTTGCAAACTTAGGGCGTTGGTCGAATGTGAAAAAAAACGAAAGCAAGCACGCCGGCTGCCCTGACGTATGCCGCGATACCCCCCCCGCCCCCCCCCCCCTCCCGCGACGCACGAGCAGCTCGCGCCTCGCGTCCCAGCTACTTGTGTGCATGGACGAGCTGGCTCGCTGGAGAGCCGCCGCTAGGCGGAGCGTGGCCGACACTGCCGATGGAAAAGACAGCGCCGGCGACAACAACGGCCCCACGCGGGCGGCGCAAGGAGGCGGGGGAGGGGATGGGGGAGGCAGCGCGAACGTGATGGTGCTGGCTGCCACTAATGCCCCGGAGGCGGTCGACGCCGCGTTCTTGCGGCCGGGCCGTTTCGACGAGGTGAGAGCTCTACAGTAGCCTGCGGCAGCTGTGTGTGCCGGGTCGTCGCAATACCAAGGGAGTGGGGGGGGACCTTATACGAACGTACCAATCAATGAAAGTTCGACTGGCCGCAAAGCACGCGTTTTGCTGCATGGAGACGGGGCGGCGGTGGAGGGGGAGTTGACCTTGCTCAAGGTAGACAAGGTGTTGAGGGGGAGATTCAAGCAAGGGTGTTTGTCCGATGTTAACGTGTTGCATTTGAATGATGCATTTGAATGATGCCACACCGTGGGTGGGCGTACCTTGCCCCTTGCAACTCTCCCTGGAGCAGTTTTCCAGACAAAGATCGATCTGCTCCACACGACAAGAAGAAAGGGCGGATGTGAGTGTCCGGAAATCTCTTGGGCAGGCTTTTGCGAAGCCGCCCAATGTTGGCGGCGACACCCTTCCTGTCGTGGAGTAATCGAGCTCCTGACATGGGTTTACTGCTGTACAAATGTATTGCATTTGTGTTGTGTGATGTTCTACCACGGTAGGTTCTAGGGAGCGCGGCGGACAAGAGCGACGAAGACAGCGTGCGGGCTCCCTTGTGTCGCTCGACTCCGCCGCTTTCACGGTCGAAAAATCGGAGCCTTTAAAAGAGCCGTGCTCGTTCTCAGCCGCCGTCTCTCCCCGGCGTATCAAACGCCTACAACCTTCGTGTGCGCTCTAGCGTACGCAACATGCTGACAATTGATCCTTCCTCGGTCGAAATGGAGACCAATAGCGTATACCCGCGTTTGGCTGCTCTGTGTCCACATTTTTTTGTCACAGATCGTGTATGCGGGTCTCCCCGACGCCGACGGAAGGCGGCAGATTCTGGGGGCCTCCAAGGCCCGAATGGAAGGCCTGTCGACAACGGCAGCTGCTGCAACAGGTGCGATGGTGGCGGAAGCTCCACCATCTACGCAGTTGTCGCCTCCCGACGACTTCGACACTCGTGTGTTGGTCGCGGCCCAAGAGGTGAAAACATCCCCTCCCACGGTCGACTCCTCCGCAGGCGCTTCGACGGCAACAACCGCAGCGGTGCCAACCAACGACGAACGAGGGAGCGGATCACCGGCCCACCCCGACAGGAGCAGCAGCACCGGTGGTAGTGGGAGTCGTCCCGTCGGGGGCGGGAGCCGGGGCGGGAGGTGGGCGAGCGACGTGGACTTGCTGTGGCTGTCGCGGCAGACCAAGGGCTACAGCGGGGCCGACCTGTCCAGCCTGGTCAGGAACGCGGCAATGGTCGCCTTTCGTGAGGAAGGCGGGGGCGGGTGCCGTGGCGGGAGGAGGGGCGCCTCGAGCTCGTTTGTCGGCGGTGGTAGGGGGACTGGTAGAAAGGAGGGGGTGTTGATCATAACGCGAAAGCATTTCGAGGCAGCGCTGGCGAGCACCCATCCTTCGTCTGGGACGGAAACGGCGGCGAAACACGAGAGATGGGCCCGGCAGTGGCACGTTGGGTCATGAACGGCAATCGCCCACGGTCGGCGGTGTGCTTTTTGATCGAGTGTGTTGTGCGCAGGTGCTTTGAGATGCACGGAGCAATTCACGCCGCCGCAAACGGTTTTCGTGCCCCTTGAAGTCTAGTTTGCATCCTGTTGGTGTATTGTTTTGTGTACCACCGGACATTGCTCCCGGGGTTAAACGTCACGTGCCGGAGAAGACAAGAGAGAGGGAAAAGACTTTACCATCATGCCCCCAACGTACACGCAGGATATCTTGAGGATCGCTGGCTAGTTTGTAGATGATGGCTTGTCGAAGCGAGAAGGAACGGAGAGCCTTTGACAAGGGATTGGTTTCACAGAGAGAGGTAAATAGTATTCTCGCATCCAAATGCTCTTGCGGACCAATCTGAATAGTCTAGCTGCCTAAGCGGTGGCAGCGGCCCATGAAAGGAACTCTGATTTGGAGATGGGAACGAAATATGAGCGAAGCAACCGGTCTTTAAAGGTCTTCGAGAACATATCTCCTACAGCACACTCGCCGTTTGCGTTATCGCTACGCACTAGTCTCTTCCGATGTTTGCCAAGTAGTCCTACCTGCAAATGTCAACGTCTCTGCTCGGAAGAATGGTAATGACGAAAGTGAATTCCCGTTTATTTTGCAGTGTTGCAGCCGCCCTTGTTCAACTAGACTACAAGCAACCACCTGCTCTCGACCCTCAACGTCAACATCAATCATGATCAGCGCAAGAGGCATTTTCATCACGCGCCTTTCAACGGCACAAGAGGGACGATACTATTTGCAGTGTTCCACAGGTGTCGTCGGCCGGCGAAATCTAGAGTATCCCGTGAAAACCGCAAACAACCCGTCATTAATCGAGGGTTGAACATGCGCACTCGCGCATACATGTACACACAACGTCCACCGATGCACGCGCGCAAACACGGCGCGGAATCCGGAGAGCTGAGTTTCGAACGGCAACTCGGCGCGCAAAGTACGAGTTTTTCCTGCTGTGTTGACATGCAGGCTCAATTGGCATTTGTGATCGCCTCAGCCAGCCCAGAGCACACTCAACACAACAATATCCTCTCCTTACTCGTTGGCGAGAAAGACGCTGCAGGTGGCAGCGTTTCAGCGTGTCGGAACAATCATTGTCTCCCATTGGACCAGATAGGGTGTAGCTCCGAGCAGAATTAATACGTGTACCTCTTTATTCCGCGCTGAAAAGGGTACAGAGGGTGAAATTACCAACGGCTTTGCCCTCTTCGCGGGAAAATCTCACACGCGCTCACGCACACCTTTGCGCGCTCTACCATCACCACCACCGTGCTCAGTCACTACGCACACGGAGGAAGGCGCAAGAGCAGGCAACGTCTAGAAGAGAGATAATTCCTGCTGGAGGTAGAGCCACACACATCGCTACCTGCACCCCTTTTCACAGCCAGCTCCAAATCGCCACATCCGGGAGAAAAAAAGAGGTAGGTGGTTCGTGCAGCGCAGCGGGCGGGGAGAGAGAGAGAGAGAGCAAGGAGAGCAAGCGAGAGATAGAAGAAGAGGCAAGCGTTGCTCAGCAAGACTGCTTCGTAAGGGTTTGGTACGGTAGGGCTCCCTATCGAGAAGATGCACACCCGAAGAAACACCGCGGTCCAGGAGAACGCCGGCTTCGGCATGGACGAGAACGCGAAGCCCTCCGACCTTGGCGCTGCTGCCGGAAAGGCCGCGTTGGGCGGGGGGGCCAAGAAGGGACTGGGAGGTGTGCAGACACGGCGCGGGCTGCGAGACATAACCAACAAGGCAGAGGAAGCCGTGGCGGAGGGGGCAGGCAAGGGGGGGAAAAAGCCCGGGGCTCGCGTGGCGAGCGCGAGCGTGGGCAGCGCGGACACTGGCGCCGCGGCTCCCGTGGTGCCCTCAGCGGCTTCCCTCGTGGTAGCATCATCATCCTCATCGTCGTCCTCTGCTGCGGTGACCCAGACAACAGCACCGGCCGCGCCGGCTGCCATTTCTTCGGCGCCCGCCTCGCGCCCCATCCGTACCGCCTCGAGAACACCAACGGATATCGACCAGCGCGACGCCGACGAGCCGCTCGCGGTGACGGAATACGTGGAGGATCTGTACGTGTTCCTGAGGGAGCGGGAGATCGCGACGAAGGTGGACCGGGGATACATGGATTCGCAGCCGAACGTGAACGAGCGAATGCGCTCGATCCTGATCGATTGGCTCGTGGAGGTGCACCTGAAGTTCAAGCTCGTGCCCGACACGTTGTATCTCACGGTCTACCTCATCGACAAGTACCTCGAGCTTGAGACGGTGAGAGCTAGAGACACCGAGAGAGGATTGTTTAGGTTGGTTGATTCTGTGTGTCGCGCGCCAAAAAAAGTGAGAGAGCAAACGCTGTTGTTGTGGTCCCGATGAAGACCCACTGCTGCGCGGTGGAGCCGATCTTTCCTTCTCGGTGTGCCGTTAGCAGGCCGTGGGGTTCGTCTCGCGTTCGCCACGAAGCAGCGGAGCACACAGCCTGTGGCAGCACTCCTTCGTGGCAACGCGGGAATCATGATCAATCGCTTCAAGCGGAAATTTGCAGAAAGAAGGGCGCAGCTTGCTAGTTTTTGTTTAGATCTCGAGTAAAATTCCCGTTGACGTTCGTGCGCAAGCGCAAGCCCGCGCTCTTCTCCCTCCCATTCTTCCGAACGCGCCAGAGACGAAAGCGCACTGCCTCGACCAACCATGGAGTCGACCACGTAGCCGTACATACGTTGAGCGTTGTGGACTTGTGTGGTTCTCGGAGTTACGGCGGTTGACCCGAAGCTCGCGTGAGCTTTCCCTGTGGTGTTTTGGCACTGCTGTTTTGCGCCTCTTTTCGGTTGACAGTGTCGGTGTCACAGCAGCTACACAGCATACATGTATCTCCTGCTGTTGCGTGGGCTTGGCACGTCATTCATGTTATTCCACCGCCGTGTTTTCTTCTGGAACAGCAGTACCCACAGACCCTTCCTTCCCTATGTCCACGCGCAGCAGCATGTTTGTCTCGCTTCTTACTTGTGCGTGCATCGGTTCCTCTTCTGACGAAAACGAAGGAGCGACAGTATGCGGTAGCGGCCGAAAATCGGTACGTAACCGGCTTTGTGCGCCGCCCACGGGAAAAAGTATTGAACGGTGGCATCTGGAATAGCACACCAAGCGCGACACGGTACTAATGCGCGGGAGAAGCAAGCAAGCGCCTTAGCGGCGATTACCGCTACGCCCTATCATTATCATTTAGCACCAGTAACCGTTCGAGACTGGTGTTCCGCCCTGAGCAAAAAGCGTCCGTCCAGCCACCGTGTTTTTAGACATTTACACGACCTAACACCACACCGTTAACATTCTCGCCTCTCCCCCATCATCAGGTGACGAGACAAAACCTTCAGCTGGTGGGCGTGACGGCGATGCTGCTTGCCTCCAAGTACGAAGAGATCTACCCCCCCCAGATCCGCGACCTCGTCTTCATCACGGACCGCGCCTACAACCGCGACCAGATCTTGGAGATGGAATCGACCATGGCGAGCGCCCTACAGTTCCGGCTGACCGTCCCGACCATCTACTGCTTCTTGCTCCGATACCTCAAGGTTAGCCTGCCGATCAGTTATATTTGTTCCTGCCCTATTCATACAGTGCCATGTGTCCGTTGATCTCCGCCTATTGGCGTTGTTTTCAGGCCGCCCTGTATCTACACTTTACCGGGGGGAAGTCGGCCAACACAAGAACGGTTTGCGCTCCTTGGTGCTCGCTTGTCTGTTCCCTTTTTTTCCCGAGACGGTGTACGTGATTGTGGCCTCTCCTCTAGAAAATATGGCAGTCACGAGATACCGAGGTACTGGTCTCTTCTGTAAGCGCGTTCCATGGGGGCGGGGTGACGCGTGACTTGCGAAGGAACGAACGCATGGCTACCCCCCTGCCCCTTTGGCAGATTCCTCGACCAAATGTCCGCATTCCAAGATTCCAAAAGGGAGAAATTGAACCCGCTCCGCGCACTCCCCACCGCAGCCCCAAGATTTTTCGTCGTCAGCCTTTGCCGTAAAACCTGAATACTGCCATCTATCAACCAACCGACCAGCTTCCATCCCACATGGGCCAGAACAAGTAAGCCGCGCACTCCCGAACGCGCACACCCCAAGCCTTAGCTCTGTGCTTGGGATTGTGCTATCACCCTTGCTTGACCCGCGCAAAGGACGCCCCTACATGATTCGGCGCAACCACCCGCCCCTACATGATTCGGCGCAACCACCGAAGAAGTGTCTATGGCGATATCTACTCTTTTTACGCTCCGCTCCGAATTCCGTCCTCCTTGCTGCTGTTGTTGTTACTGCTGTCGACTGCGGGCGGGCAGGCGGCGCACGCCGATAAGAAGATCGTGCAGCTGAGCTGCTACGTGGCCGAGCGCATGCTGCAGGAGGTGAGCATGCTGGACTATTTGCCCAGCGTGGTGGCGTGCTGCGCGATCTACGTGGCGCGCAAGAACATGGGCCGAACGTGTTGGAGCCCTACCCTCGAGAAGTACACCAAGTACCGGGTGGAGGATCTCATGCCGTGCCTTTGCGAGGTGGGTTTACCGAGGCTCCGGTGCTGTCAGAATGCTGCTTGCTGCGTGTTGAGCTTATGGTTGTGAATATTGTTTGGATTATATGACCAATAGCGGCGGCCTAGTGGATTCCGTTGCGTTTGTGGCCGTTTGGTGTTCTTGAACGGACTGCAGTCGTGACCGCCGCAGTGCTGTGTCTAAATAAACCCAGTTTTGGGCCACCTTGGTAGGCGGGGATAGGGCATGTGCCCACCCGGAAGTCGCAGAGAAGAGGTAGGACTAGACGTGGATGCCTTACTGTAACGTTAATCAAGGCAACCCGACCCCACCGGCCTACACGTTTCTCCATCAGTCGATTCTCCGTTCCCTCTTGAGGGAAAATTATGATTGGAATCTGGTGGTTGATACGGCCCATGCAGGGGATACTCAATAGAAATCTTGTGCGGGTAGACAGGGAGTTGGAATATCGGAGCGCTCTAGACAGCGCTTCTGCACGGGTTGTCGATAGGCATTTCACTGGTAGACGCAAACGTTGGTCCAAGTGGGGGGCTGCTACTACGATGAGGGCGGGCTGAGGTGGAAATATAGTGAGTCGGCCGTTGAGGCCACTCCCCGGTCCCCGCTCTCTTCATTTTGTGGATTTCCGCGTTTTTTGTCGATCCCTCGCGGTGCCGGAAATGTTGCTCAACATATTGCCATTTGCTTAACAATGTTTTTGGTTGTGATCCCTTGCCATGTCGACGCCGCGTGTGCTCGTCCATGGTGGTGGTGCGGCGACGGCTGGTGGTGGCAACAGATCTCCCGCGTGCTGAAGCAAGAAGGGGGCGACCTCGAGGCGGTGAAGAAGAAATTTAGCAGCAGCAAGTTTGGCTCCGTGGCGACCATGAAGGTCAGCATCCTCCCGGATGACTCGCCGTAGCTGACAGGTGGGCGGCAGGCGGTGGCAGTAGGCTACTTACCGCGCGCTTGACTGGTGGTCGGCCTTTGTTTGAAGGGGGGGGGGGGGGGGGGGGGGGGGGGG